TTCAGGGTTTCATCTGCAGATTAAATCAAACTTTTATAGAATTGAATAGATTTTTTAGTTCTAGTAAGTTATATTGTTGGAGGCCCATATAGTAGTAATTACGAATTCGGATTTACGTGATTATGTTTAACTTAGATTTACTGTGACGTCATGCTGTCATAGGAATTCTGGAAGTCATAAGTAAACATTGATGACATTTAAATATAACTTCACCTACAAACTGTACATCATCAACATTATTTCCAAAAATGGATTGTTCGCAGATTTAAAAATACGAATAATACATCAGTTAATGGAGTAAGTATCAACAAGGGCGGCTCCAGGGCTTAATATAGGGGAGGGGGATATAGTCGCGCGAAGCGCGAACCAGAAAAAATACAGGTCAAAAGTATCTACTCCTAGTGGAGGGTTAGTATCTACCCTTGGTAGGGGGGTAAGTACCTACCCCTGGTAGAGAGTGAGTATCTACCCCTGCTAGGGGGTAAGTATCTACCCCTGCTTAGAGAGTGAGTATTTACCCCTGCTAGAGAGTAAGTATTTACCCCTGCTAGAGAGTGAGTATTTACCCCTGCTAGAGAGTAAAAATCTACCCCTGCTAGATAGTGAGTATTTACCCCTGCTAGACTGATATAATATTCCCGCTGAAACAAATGTGACAAGCCGGGCAGATAAGTTATGTACACCTAGTTCAACTAAATTGATTACAAGCCGATAGATCAATAAATATATCTACTGCCTGAAGTTGCTTATCCAGGGATAGGAATGCAAGCCATCAACATCCAACTCAATTCATATCTTAATAATTCTAAACTGGAAATATGATTGTATCAAGTAATATCCTAGATTAGGGCAGTCAATCCAAATAGTTGATCTATTTGATTGTTTGATTGATTGATTGATTTCTATAAAATATGTTTAATGCCATCAATGATTTTTATTTTTGTATTTGTATTTGTATTTGTATTTATTCTTTTCAATTTCTTTTATCTATTTTATATTTTTTTTAGTGACCTCAACGGTATTTTCTAAGTGTTGTCTGTCTTTTTTCAACCTGAAAATGAGGTCAATTAGAATTCATTTCTTGTGATTTATAAACGTTTCCTAAGAATATTTATGTTTATCTTGTATGAATATGACCGACAAAAATTGTAAATTTTAGAAAAGATTTCTACTTAATCTCATAAAGCGTGCTTTCCTATTTCTACTAGAATTTCAAATTTCCCCATTTTATAAATTTTGATTCAACAAATTCTTTGTCTATAAGATTCCCCATGATTCCCCACCCCCGCCATGCGGCGCCGACTCCCCCTGGATACAGAAAGAAGGTCAACTTAGGAGGTAAATTACTGAGAAAGCTGTTCTCAAACTAGACAGGTACTTTAGGTACTTCAGGTACTTGCATCCTCATTTATCCACTCTTCCTAGCGGTGCAATTCAGAACTAAAAAGATAAACATGCAACGTAAAGCTATCAACTTTCTACATAGCTAAGGAAAAGGCTAGAGGCTCATTCTTCACAGCTCTACGCCTTTCTACACATTTTATATAACAGGGTGTCATGTTTTATAAATAAGGAAAATATCTAATCTGGAGAAATAAGGAAAATATCTAATCTTGAGAAAATTAGGAAAATATAATCTTGAGAAAATGAGAAAAACATCTAATCTATGGGAAATAAGGAAAATATATAATCTTGACAAATAAGGAAAATATCTAATCTATGAGAAATTAGGAAAATGTCTAATCTTGAGAAAATTAGGAAAATATCTGATCTATGAGACATAAGGAAAATATCTAATCTTGAGAAATAAGGAAAATATCTAATCTTGACAAATAAGGAAAATATCTAATCTATGAGAAATTAGGAAAATGTCTAATCTTGAGAAAATTAGGAAAATATCTGAACTATGAGAAATAAGGAAAATATCTAATCTTGAGAAAATTAGGAAAATATCAAATCTATGAGAAATTAGGAAAATATCTAATCTTGAGAAAATTAGGAAAATATCTATTCTGCAAATAAAAATGAGAAAAATTTCTACGTGAAAGGAGGAAAACATCTAATCTATGAAAAAATGATCTAATTTGAGAAAATTGTGAAAAACAAGAAGTAAAAATAAAATAAATGATATTGAGATAACAAAATTAACAAACACACAGACAACTAGAGGTTAATACTATATATAGATACATATAAACATATTTATTATATATATATTTGAGAAGATTAATACTGTTTAAGAGTTACTGTGGTTTTGTTTTAATGTATTAAGAAGAAATCAATCATTTTCTCTATTTGCTTGTACATTCAGCTATTGCAAATAAACAGTAATGATGGATGTTTACATTCAGCACTATGTACAGAGCACACTGTCAACTGTACATAACCAGGAAACATGTGTGGCTGTACAAAATAATCTGTAAAATTACTTATCATGCATAAAAAATCTTTTCAAATATTTTCAAAGAAATCTAATCTATCACTAAAAGATTTTCTAAACCGCGGATGATTTCTATTTTATCCCTGTCTTTAACATCATTTGCAGGAAAAAAAAGATTTCGTTCTTTTAAATAAAGTCTGTTCCGTTCCGAACTTATTTCCAAGATAATTTTTTTCTCGGATCTAGGGGGAACTAATTCATAAGAAACTTCGTAAAAAATATTATATTTTAGAGAATATGTAGATTTGAAATAAATTTTTTTTGTGCATTCATTAGATTGTTAAAAGTTGTTTTTCTATATTGTGATATCCTTTCTCTGGTATTGAAAATAATCAGTTTTTCTCTTGAAAAACAGGAATTACTCAATCATTTTTTAACAGACAAAGATTTAAATAATTACAATGTGGAACTTTCCACTTTTTTGATTGAGAGTCACTAAATGTTAAATGAACAGACTCTTTAAAATTGTTGTCTAAACCTTTACAGAAGATAATAAACATAAGTTATAAAATATGAAAATAGAAAACCAACGTCATATACATTATACATAGACAAAACAATAGGAAATAGACAATAATGATATGAAAAAGTTTAAAGAAATAATAAAAGTTGCAAACATAATTTCACAACATATGCCAGACTAATAGAAATGGAGTGAAAGATTTAAACAAAATAAAAAAATTCAAAGTTAAAATTTTTCACTTATTATTATCAAATACTAGCAAAACATAAAATAGTATAAAATAATTCCATTTCATAAATGATTACCGATCATTATAATGATCACCTAGTACAACGATTTTGCACAATTTAAGAAAGCTAACCTTTTACAGTTTTGAAGTTTAGGAATTTGTGTGGTGCCTTTAAAATCCAAAAACCTTAAAAGTTAGAAAAAAAAGAACCAAGTAATTGCTTATCAGTATATGAAGATCATACTCCATTTTGATATTTTGATCACAAGAAATAGTTTATATCGATTCTTGGAACTTTGTTAAGTTCTAACATTAAAAGCGTACAGCGATAAAATTTGAATAAATTATCTCAATTTTTAATAACATTTTCACATTTATAAAACAATCCTAAATTCCAGGGAAAATAAGTTCTGAAGCTAACACTAGGCCCATTTCTAACACTGAGTGCTAGAAATGGGCCAAATCTGAAAAGTTATATATATCTTTAAATCTATAAAGTCGAGTTTAACAAAATTAAACCATACATTAATAAAAAATTACTAAAACTATATATTGAAACCAAAAATGTCAATTTTATACTAATAACAAGGTGTGATAGTTAGATTTTGATGATACTTGATAAGTTGATTTTATTTTCGAATATATTCCTATTTTGAAACAGTTACCGAATTTCAGCTTAACATTCTCTTAACATATCCTGGTTGTTTTAAGACAATTACTCGAATTCATATCAATGTTAATTTTTAAGCATTTACAAACTTTTGAACAAAACAAGATTTTTTGATAAGGTAAAATATAAACAAAATAGAAAGTAAAAACTGTTCTTTTATAATTCAAAAATCATTTTAGCATTAAGAAATCAAAATATTAATATTATTTGTTGTTCCAATATAGATTTAGCAACTAATGCGGAAAATTAAATCAACTTTGTTCTATTGTTTAACAAATTTAACAATTAAAATGAGTAAAAAACAGATTTTAGAAATAATTTAGCATTTAGTCTTCATAAGATAATTTTTATATACGAAAGTGAGCTTTGTTCTAAGATTATATACTCAAAAACTGGTAAGTGGGTTTTGTCTCGAAAATGCTACAGTGATTCATATTCAGGATATGTTCGAAAATTGAAAACCTGACATCATGTTGAAAACGGTGAAGGGTTGTAATATACAAAGAACTCTTGATTTTGATTTCAGAGAATAGTTCTAAATTGGGAATATGATGTTTTCGTTATGCTTAATAAAATATTGGTTATAGTTTTAATTTTAGACTTTCACTCTCGATATAGGCCGGGATCCTAAAAACCCAGTCTTTCAATTTGTGCCCATTTTTAACACTCAGTGTTAGAAATGGGCCATGTGTAAGTTTTGGAACTTGTCCCCTGAAATTCTAAAACTTTCAAGAAAACATTACAATTGCTTTGAATCCCTTTTCAGAAATTTTAAGAACTTAAAATATATCAATTAATCATGCCTTGGTTTGTTTAAAAGCTGTTTGCGGTATAAGTGTAAATTTATTCATACCCTGCCTTCTCTCTTCTCGAAATCTTAAAGGGGGAAGAAAAAAATGCAATTTTGCAGATATATATATTTTTTTTACGAAATCAATGAAAATTTGATTTTCAATTCCTAACATTTTGTTCCAAATCTAAACTTTTTAATGAAAATTAGCCCTGTTTATGCCTCTATGTTTCTCAAGCCTCATCCCCCCTCCCCCCCTTTCCAGGTTGGGCAGCAGCTCGCAGTGGTAAGAGAGACGCAGCTGTCAAAAGCATCACGATTAGCTGCGGCTCCAGCTGCGTCTCCAAGCTGTCGTCCGCTCTGCGCGGTTCAACAATGATGTGTGCGAGAGGTCCCCCCTGCCGTCAGCTCCTCACCCCTCTCCCACTGTCAGTTCGGTTTCTTCTCTATATCTCACACAACGAGCACAATAATAATATAATAACAAAACATTGTACAACAAAACTGGTTTTAAACCGGTTCCGTACATAAACATACAGTGACACTTACTACTATAGTTATTGATTGATAGTTAAAACTGAAATATTTAATGTACTGTCATGATAATTGTACACTAAATAGTGAAGATAAAAGAAGATAAAACAATTTAATAAATTGTAAACAAAGTAATCCACTACACCGCAGAACAGTGTTCATAAAAAACTGGTTTTCAGGAAGCCTTAAAAAGTGAAAAAGTGACACAAAAAAGCATTTTTAGAATTTTATTATGAACATGCATATTAGGTGATAAAAATATATATAAATTAAACTTTTTAAAAAAAATTCATGTAAAAAGTCTTGAAAGAACTAAACTTTATTTTAAAAAAATATATATTTTTAATCTAAGGAAATATTCGTTGATGTTCTTTAGTTTTGTAAAACTGGGATTATGACAGTTTTCTTAAAAAGGTAAATAAAGAATCAGCTGTTATAGTTTGACCCCCCTCCACCCCCCACCCCCAACCTAAACTTGTGTACATAGAAACAACCAATCTCGAATAAGAAATCGATGAAATCTTGAAATAATAAAAAAGTTTTTGGCAAGTATTGGCATTTTCCTAATCAATCAATTTTGTTTGTATATTTATGAACAACAGAAACTAAACCCTTTTTGGGTCTGTAGTGAACGATTTTTGGACCCCCCCTCTTTTTTGTTCATATAATTCTTTTATAACTATCAAAAGACATTAAAATATGATAAAGACCAAAACAATGAGATAATGTTGTGTAATGAGTTCCAGGTCTTCATCATATAATCATGTTTTGTCGGTAAACCTGTAAAAAAATTCTTAAGTTTTACTTTTGATCGTAAATTTTTTAATGAGCAGATTTAAAAAATCATCTAGTGTACAGCCTGGTAAACACAAATCAGCTCTAGGTCACCTAATGTTGTAAGTTGTTAGCACATTAACGAATCTATATAAGAAAGTCCCCGGGAAAAAAAGTTTCTGAAAAAAAAACCTGGAAATAAAAACTTTGGAAAAAAGTCCGAATTTTCTCAAGTCCTTGGAAAAAAATGTAACCGGAAATTAAGTCCTGTGTTTTGGATTCCTGGGACTTTTTTCCTAAAATAGTTTGGGGGCTGCCAATAAAGTCTCAGGAAATAAGATCTCAGGAAAAAAAGTCCTGAAGAAAATAAATCCGAGGAAAAGAAAACCCTAGAAAACCCAGGACTTTTTCCATTGTGAATCATGCATTTTCACTTGTTAGAGGACTTTTTTTCCGAGGACTTTTTTGTATAAAATCATACTGGAGCCAGAAAAAAGTTCTAGAAAATTAAGTCTCGAATTGGTAGGACTTTATTTCCGGAGACTTTTAAATAAAAGGACTTTTTTCCACAGGACTTTTTTAGTGTGAAATTTTAGGATTTTTTTCCGGAAACTTTTTTCCAAGGACTTTTTTGGCGGTTACCCCCATTAACAGTCCAAATCTAAAAGCTTTATGACAAATAAGATTTTTACAAATCAGTTTTACATTGTGTTTGCTCAGACCCTCGACTTGTTGCATTAGAATTGTTTATATTTGGTCACTTTGGTTGATTTGTTACTTAAAAAAATAAAACTATTCGTAAAAATTAAAGAAATGTAACATTACAGAGAAATTGCTTTAACTTCACGTGTAACAAACATGTTCCTTATTCCTTAAATTATCCGGTTGGAGGGAGTATATAAGTGGGTTTATTCATTCAGTTTTTTAACGATTTTTGAGATATCATGGGCAACGTCGAGTACACTTTCCAGTAGCTAAAAATATACAATATTACACATTTTGTAAAATGAGTATTCATTCAGTTTTTTAACGATTTTTGAGATATCATGGGCAACGTCGAGTACACTTTCCAGTAGCTAAAAATATACAATATTACACATTTTGTAAAATGAGTTGAATTTGTTTCTATATTATACACATTGCACAGGGTGTCTGAACAAATCTATGTAAGAAAGTCGCAGAAAATAAAGTTTCTGGAAATAAAATCTTTGGTAAAAAAATCTCAATTTTCGGAAGTCATTGGAGAAAATGTCACTGGAAATATATAAAGTCCAGAGTTTTAGATTCCTGGGACTTTTTTACCTAGTGCCTAAAATTATGACTTTATTTCCGAAAACTTTTTTGGCGGTTACCGTCTCAACATGGAAATTAAGAAACTACCTACCAATCGTCTTTGTTTCCGATAGTTAATATTTAAACTGGATTTTATCAATTGAGATTCTGATGAGCTTAAAACATGTTAACCTTTCTTTTTTGTATCTTAAAATTGACAATGATTTAAATATATTCGACTTGAATCTGGTCCACCATCTAAAATTGAAAAATCAATTTTGGCAGACCCCATTTTGGAAATCCTGAAATAAGATTTTTCAATGTACTAAATATAACTTTGTAAGCGTAAAAATCACGTGTAGATAAAATTAAGTCACTGGCTTCTCATGTTCCTTGGGACACCCTGTATACACCTGTATAAAGGGTTAAATATATATATATATATATATATACAGCTAGCATAAAGGCTGGCCTGTAACTTGAGAGTTTTATATCCTAACCAAGCAACAGATTAACTCTACCCCCACCTCTCTAGTCTACATACAGGACTTAAAAATGGATTCAATTTATCAATTAACAATTTTCAAAATAAAATTTGATCATTTAACTAGGAAACTTTCAAACTTTTAAAATCCAATTTTTACTGAATTATTGTCTCAAATACGATTTCCCAAAAAAATCTTTAAGAACCTATTCAAACAAAAACTGCACAAAAATAATCGATATTTTTTATATTTATGAATCTCCAAAAGCCAATATTTGCTGACTGCAGACTTTAAACAGAAATATATAAAATGGGAAGAAGAGTAAAGTATAAGTAAAAAATTATTTATTTATGAAATATAACAAAAACATACAAAAAAATGTGTTTCAGGAGAAAATATTTAAAAACCTCTAAAAGTAGAGGTTGTGGGAATATTTCCCCCAATTCTAAAAAATATAAAAATAGAAATAATAGGAAAAGGAAAGGAAAGGATAAGGAAAGTTACATATTTATTGTTTACACTATATTTTACATAAAAATTAGTGGTGGATTGTTAGTATTTTTCGACGATGAACTAACAACTTTTAGTTTAGTTTAGATTTATTTGGAATGTTAAAAAAAAAGTAAAAAAAAGCTTTATGGAGTGTGAAAGAGATATAGGTTCTATGAAAAACGGGCATTTTTAAGCATCTTTTTAATTCGCGCTGATTTTTGACATCCTTTATGTTTGATTATATCTTTTACTCTTTTTAATCTTTTTATTCTTTTCTTTGTAAAGTCGTCTTTGGTTTCTTCGATTCTTTTGCAAACATAGCATGTGTTAGAATTAAAACATTTGTTCTGCTGATAAAAATCTTCTATTAAATTCTGTTTAAAATTCGAAATAAGATTGATATTTGGAAGCTTAGAAAAGTGTCGTTTATTTTCATACCATATTTTAGGGAAATTGTGAGG